CTTTAAGATGAGACCAAGCATGTAACTGCAGCACAACTCAAGTAGAAACTATATTCAAAGATTTCAGCAGTTAATTACTTTATATCTAATTACTTAAAGAACTCTCCCACCCGCTTCCCTTTAAAGAGACGTCATGTACGTAAATATTGGCGTACAGCGATGGCAGTGGTACCATTGGAAAGAGCAGAATTCCAGCTTTCAGATGAGCACAAAAACCGAAAAACGCCAAAATTGAAAATTTTAGGGTAGCCGGTCCCCTTAAGCAGGTATTTCTGTTTAAATCACGAATGAGGGAAAAGTGAAAATACTCGCGGAGGAAGGAAAAAGTGAAAAAATTATCACGAGCTAAACATCATCGTTGGGTATTTAGAAATTTATTTTCAAAATTTCATTCGAATCTGTTCATCACTTTGGAAGAAATGTAATGCTCACTGCAAATTTCGGCACGTATTGTCATACAACTCGCGAATGAAGGCGAAATTAAAAAAATTGTCACGAGCTAAACATCGCCGTTAGCCTATAATGATTATGTGTACCAAGTTTCATCGAGCTACGTCCAGTAGTTTGGGAGATATTCTATGCTCACCGAATTTGGAGTCCGGCAGCGAGACCGGCCGCGGGTCCGGCCGTAAATTTGTCCGAGACATTTGTCCTGGGGGATCCAGCCCATGGTTGAACTAGTAGAAGGTTGACCCACGAGAAGCTCAGCTTTGCGGATGGCGTTTGCTGTTCCGTCTGTGACGTCACTGAGATCGCAAAACGTAAACAATCACGTGTGTCACGTTGTTTTAGTGCCATTTTGGAGAGTATTTATAAAAAAATTCACCTCCTCAAAATTCCCCCTAAAACATGAGCATCTTGAAATAGTCTTCATTTAATCATGTAGAAGTTTTGAAGCGATTTGGTCGCGCGGATATTAAATAAGTGGGACATTAAAGAGCCAGGGTCGCCATCTACTTGCACATCATGATTGGTGAAGAGCCATATTCATATTGGCGGCCTCTCCGCTCAGACGATGACGAAATAAACTATCACACGACGGCCAGAAGAAGCCTTCTTCACAGCAAATCCTATTTGATTCAAGTGAGTAAATTTCTACATACTACTAGGTATCCCCTATTTTTTTGACAATTTATCCCAAGTTTTCAATTTTGATAGTACTTCTTTTCATGTTCTCACTTCTCTGTTTATTAACAACATTGCACATGTTTCTATTTGCCGGCTAATAATTTCAGTAAATCTTTTTGGATTTTTGTTTGAGGCTGGACAATAAACTAATAAGGACTATAGCTTCAGATATTGTTAAGACTTGAGAAGTTGAGAATACAAACCCAAGGGGAGGGCCCAGTTACAGTAACATCTCAACACAGGGCACGGTCTGAACTGACTCTAGAGTGCTTTTTCTTAACAAGCTTACTGCTTACCTAATTGAATGAATAATACAAACCTAAATTAAACAACTCCTTCAGCTTCAGGTACCTAAAAATGTAGGTAATGTTGAATGCTGAATTCTTGTTCAAAAGGGGAAAACCAACTTCTTGAGGAATTTTAACAATTATTAACTTCAATATATACCAGGCACAGGCAGTGCAGAATGAAGCACAGACACAGAAAACTGTACAATGATTATTCCAAAAGGTTTGTACTGGATTACAACTGTGCATTATATTAATAAAGATATACTAGGGCTCATTTTCTTGTCATTGTCAAGGTCATACTGGGCCCCTGGGGTGCTTTTTCTTAACTAATAGATTTATACTGAGTTAGGTATCACCACAATTGAATATTGATTTGCAGTAAATAATTGTACATCATTTTGAAAGGCATAAAATTTGTTTCACACTACTACTGACATATTTAGTGACATCATTCTACAACTTTTATGAATTATAAGAGCCAGTTTAACCAAGAAAATAGCTGATGGGGCTGGGGCCTATTCTGTGCACTGAGAATATTTAAAATAAAACCCAAGATCAGATCTCTTGACTTTTATTAATCAATATAATATAGCAAGAGAGTGAGACTACTCTCAGCCTGTCTGTAGGCTAGATAGGAATGTTTTTGAAACAATTTTGGATAACAATCTGGAAGCTAGAGAACTCAACTATCTTGGAATCTTTGTAGGATTTAAAAATTGGTACAAAAAATAGTACAGCAATATTTTTATTATAGTGCATAAATAATGTTCTTCATATTACAACTTGACTGAGATAGACATAAATCCTAAGAGACAAATTTCTGCATTCTTAACAGTCAGTTGGGTGGATAGTTCTCCTTGTGATGTATACTTAAACATTGTGCGCGTTTGATTGAAGACAAGAGCATACTTTTCATTAAAAATGAAGAACTTCTGCCTTTCTACACTGTTAATACATTGTGTTGTACATATTGTTTGTGTTGGATGATATCATGATTGTAACACATGCATAGTTTGAATTCATGTCATTCGGTTCATTATTTGTTTCCAAATTACTAAAATGAAACACCTTATGTTTTTAAACTTATTATTGAGGAAATATCAGTGTGCATCATGAATCAATCATTGCATTGTTAGAGATCAATCGACTACTGAATCACTTGAATTTATGGAAGTGGTCTCAAGACCAGATATATTTTATCTTATTGCCAAAATTATATCAAATAAATTTGTCTACCATCTAAGCCAGTTACTAAGTATATTACAAGTAGAATGCTACCTTTGGAGACATTCTCTGTTAATTTATAGCTAGATATAATATTGTTCCATGACGTTGCATTAGTATTAAATAAATGATATTTTTGACCCCCTAATTTACAGATAAGGTATCTCTGTTCATATAAAGATTTGTTCATTGCATGGTGCAGTAGGTCACAAACTAATGTACTAGTTTGCATAAGATTACTATACAGAATAGGTTCAATTTTGAATTGTCTGACTTCATTTCCTTCTGATTTACAGGTTGTAGATGCCGTGGCCGCCTCTACCCTCGACGCCTTCAGAAGCATCTGAAGCTGCTGCAGTCAAGGCCATTCCTTAGTTTTTTACAATTTTAAAACCTTGAGTTCGTTATTTTAATCGTATACCCGTATCGTAATCTCGAAACTTATGCTTAAAGCCATCAAGGTATCCACTAACCGTGAAGAAGCTATTGCAGTAAGTTTTTGAGAACTTCTCCCATTAGGTGCAATACTTATTTACGAGAATATGGGAGTTTTTATATGCAACTAGCATGCTAGTTACGTTTTTCTTTCTGCATTATGTGAATGTCTCCTGGGTGGGTTATAATAAAAACAGAATTTGAAAAGACTTTTTATTCCTTTTTTGTTAAATGAGAAATTAGTCTCGCTGTTACGCAAAAAAGTTGGGGAACGCAACATAGGTGATCTAATGAGTTTCCATTTGTCTAAGCTTGTGGAGGAAAAACAACTTTATGAAAGTTGCAGAGGTCAAACATATTTAATTTATAGAAGCATTTTGCTATTTGATTAGACGTTTTTGATAGAAATCATGAATTAATACTACTCTTCCAGATAAGAACGGGATTAAATTCCAATAATAAAAGCTGTATAGTGACTATAAAATGTAGGAAACCCGTGCCACCAGTCGATATAATTTACAATACAATGGTTTTACTAGTTCGTTAGGAGAGGATTCTCGTGAACGCCAATATATGATAACGAGACTGATAATTATCAGTTTATGTAATAGAACTTCTAGAAGCACAGTGCGCAGTTTCTGAAGATATCGACATCTATTCAAAGCCCAACTTATAACATTGATAAATTAGTCGCATGTTTTTTCAAACAAGCTTGTTTACACGCCTCTCAATTAAAAAAAAACATTGCAGATACTTACAAGGATGCTTTAAGAAATTCTCACGGTTATACCGTACTAAAAATTCTGAGTACAAGACTACTTAGCTAGTTTGCTTAATTTTCGAAAATTCGACCGAGAACTTTTCAACTCGTTCTCGTTGAGCCATCGAAATTTAACCGCGTCCGAAAGTAAAATCTCACTATGTGTTGAGGTACATCGCAGGTTTCATCAACGTAGCTCATTAATTGGGCGATTGCAGCAGGTCCCGGCTTCAAGTAAAGGCCATGGTGATGTCTAAAGACACTCTCAAAAGCTCTAAAATAAGGGATTAACTCGGACTTCATAGAGGTGAGAGCACCTTTGTTTACGTGATCTGTCCAGCTACCGGGATCCACAAGGTTCGACGAAACTTGGGGGAACTTGTGGGCTATAAACCCAAGAACATATAAGAAAGCTTGTTCCTCATTTTCTGGAATCGGCAGAGAACAATCAGAAGTCGAGTCTTCAGTCGGCAGGCTAATGTTTCTTAAGACATCACTTGTAATGCAAGGACTTTCTAGAGGCTGTGATGCTGCAGAAGCATTGGAGAAGCGTTTAATTCCGCAAGCAACCGCATCATCGTCACGTGCGAGCGAAGTATCAGGCTCCAATGCAACAAGGGTTTGTTTTCGCCCAAGGACGTACTTCTTGATGCGGTGCTTGAAATCTAAGGCTGAAGGGTGGTCATTTAGTGAACCCATTTGTCTAATGACGCCGAAAAAATTTTCCAGAACGTCTTGATTTAGCCTACCAGTCATGATGAAACTAACTTTATATTCTGAAAGCAATGCATGATGAAGTTGAACGAGGGATTTTGAGGTGATGATAATGCCTTTAATAAATGGGAAAACTTTTCCATTGACATTTTCAGAAAAACTTGTGACTTCATTGAGCAGCGATAGTTGAGATGGATCTCCTTTGAACGGCTTTTGATCGTACGGATTTGAACAGTTCAAGAGGTCAAACCATGCGTCCATCATGAGAATGAATTTTGCCGTGTTTCTCCAACCTCGTGACTTCAACTGGCCAGCTTCTCCCAAAAACTCAAGGGCTTTTCCTACAGTGCGGGAAATCAGTTGGACGGCGGTTTTAACTTTTTGTCTCTGAGTTCCAGACACAAGCAAGTGGCTTTCATTAATTTTGTGAACAATTTTAAGTTCTTAGACGGTCCTGGAATAGGTTCTACAGACGGTCCTGGAAGAGGTTACTGAGACGGTTCTGGAAGAGGTTACTGAGACGGTTCTGGAAGAGGTTCATTAGACGGTCCTGGGATAGGTGTTAGAGGCTGTCCTGAGAGATGTTCCAAGGATGGTACTGGCAGGGGTGAAATGGTCGGTTCTGGAAGCCTTTTGCACGCCGGCTTCAGTGGGAGTGCATAAGTTGTTTTTTTCGGCAGTTCATTAGAAGATGTTGGAAGAGGCCCAGAAGTTGGTTGCAAAGGCTCTCCAGTAACTTCTGCCCAAGGCCAAAATGTTTTAAAGTTCGGAAAAATATGTTGTGTAATGGAAAATCTTACCAAATTGCAAAAAAATAACGCTCCAAAGCCCTGTATGATTTAATTAAGAAATCAATTAAAAAACAATGGTTTAGGAGTATAAGTGCTTACGATGCCAATTTTGATACATGGAGAATACCGCTTGCAAGTTCAAAGCTTTCTATCAGATTACTTGAAAAAAAAACAATTACCATTCTAAATCATGTTGTGCTGCATTGAACTTTTTAATGAAGTAGGTATAGATTTAAATGAGGAATCAAGCATGTACTGATACCATGGCAATGAAGTAGCTATTTGTGTAGAAGACTCTCATTTTGAATTAAAAAATTTCTGCAAACGTAGGATGAGAATAAATACATAGAATTCTTAAGAATAATGTTATATGATGATCAGAAGAGAGAGCAGGATTCCTTCTGTTGATAGGTTTGGGTAAGTAATAAGTCCACAATGATCATATCAAGACTCAAACCTTGCACATGAGACGTTTGTAGAAAATAAACTCATTTAAATATGTGAATAATATACAAGTATTTCCAAATTTATTTCTGAATATTAAAATTGTGCCCTCCAATGTCTCCGAAGGATATGGTATAGCCTATAGGTATGTATTACCTTGGACCAGCTATGCAAATATTTTCAGATTTTTTTGTGAACAACAAAAGGAATATATTTTATGAACACTCAAGGCTAACATGCAAGAATGGCATTGAATGATTAAATTAACAGCAAGCAAATTTTTAAGGAAAGTCTGAAAATTACTGTTGCAGAGGTGATCTAGAGGACTGAAGTAGTAATGCTGTGCAACCGGAGGGGCCGTGCTGCAAAGCGCAATGCTGTGCCTTGCTCTTCTTTTAGCGGGAGCTTCATTCTCTGCCAGATAATTATTCACATATGATTGATCACTTTTTAACTGTTACATACATACCTACTATAATTTGCATTTGTTACATGTTCTATTGTTTAAATTAGAGTTAGGTCAAATAATATAAATTTATTGATACCCATAGGTCATGATTAGAAATAATATTTTATGTTTAAAAATTACTTTTTAAAGACAACACTTCTGAACAATCTAGTGTCTTGGATGTTACACATGTACAATGAAGTTCTAATTTTATTTTCAAATATTGAAAAAAATTCTCCTTAAAATTTTTTTTAAGATATCAAAATTTTGTAAATTTTCAAAATTATTTATTCAGTCAATTGATTCATGCATTGTCTCTGACTTTATGCAATTGTGCAAAAATTTCAGATCAATTGGACAGGTCAAATTGTCATGTATGGATTATAAGATTTGTAGCAGAAAAAATTATTTTTTAATTTTTTATAATAATGAAAAAAAATTTTTTTATAAAATTGTTTGTTCTTTCAATTGATTCATGCATTGTCTCCAACTTTACGCAAGTGTGCCAAATTTCAGATTGATTGGACAGGTAGAAGTGGGTTAAATATCGATTATAAGATTTGTAGCAGACAGACAAACAAACAAGAAGTGAAGTTAAAGAGAAGTGTTGTAAAATCATTGCATTTTGTTTCATTGTCATGTGAATGTGATTTATCACTCACCATCATTATCAAGTATTTCTTGAGCTAAGCGTTTCAGCCCTCTTCTCTCAAGTCTCACCACCCGGGAAGACTTAGTCTCTGTAAATAGAACAGAACTTAAATAAAAAAACATGAATATTTATTCCTTTCTTCTGGGGAAAAATTAGAAATTATGTAGTATAGGTAGAATTGGCATATATTAGACACACTCAAGTAATTTATTATCAGCCAAGCTATTCCAAATTGTAGTTTGTAAAAAGTGCAACAATGAACTGAATAGTGAAAAGGTTTTTGAAAATTTCCAATATGTATACATACACTTTACCCAACATTATCTAATTATAGTTTTTAAGTTGCAATAATTTGTAAAAAAAATCAATGCATCCTAACCTAACCTCACTAAAATTAGCATTTTTTATACAAATTTATTTTAACATAACCTCATGAGGTTGTGGCTGTAAATGCCTATCTGCTAATTTTTTTATAAAATCATTTTGTAAATTTTAAAAGCAATGAAATTGTTTAGAATAAATTATTTTAAGTACACAAAAGTTATTTTTTTAAAAGTTTACTTCAACAAATTTACATCGGCAAAAATTTGAATAATAATCTGCAGGCCTAAAAATGTCCAGTATTATATATTGTCCAATGGACTGGTAACAAAATCTCCAGTTAATCAAAAAATATGGATGTATGTATATACCTATATAAATATATAAACAAATATGAATTACATATACTATGTATTTCAAAATCATGAGCCAGAAAATGATCATTATAACAATAATGTGAAAAAATTCAATTCAGCCAACACAAAAGTAAAGCAAAAAATTCAGTTGTCTATAATTGCTCCTAAAATTCTGATTAAATCAATTGATCAAGTAATTTAAATTTTCATGCCCTGCATTGGATGAAGGTTCAAAGTGCTTCTTTACTAATCAGTGTAACATGTAAATCTAGAATTGAGTCACCCACTCAGAAGCTTGCAGAAAATTTCTAGAAGGCTGGTTATCTCAAATTACTAAAAAGAAATGCAAGCATCATTATCATGACTCATTCCTCATGAAAACCCAAACTTTTTTCATACATTAATTTAAAACAACTACTATTCAACTAGCAAGTTAAAGTTGTCACAAGTGAGAAGTATATTACTAGTCAAAAGTGGCCAAACTTATATACTGGTACATAGGTAGTTACTTACCAAATTGCATTGAACCATTTAGCAATGTGGCTGGCAGATGTTGATCAGCAGTGGCATCTTCTTTCAAATTGCGGTAGTTGTTCCCTCGCTTGATGCCACAAAGTTCAAATCGGAAATCTTGATTGTATTGCAGAGTACTGAAGTGTTTACCGCATATTCTGGAGTTCTCACACTTATCAACACTCATGTCACTTTGGCCACAAGCCAAAAGACATTTTTAAAAAATTTTTCACACCTTGGAAATGTATAGTTTATAATCACCGTTTTGTGAAGAAGTTTCACTACCAAGCACAGAGCAAACAGTCATGTTTGCTCTATACTAATTTAAACTAGTCAACTTTAAAGTTTACCTTTAGTGCACTGTTTACAGGGCATTGAGTCTGAAAAAGAGGTTCATTTAGCTCTGAGTGATAGTTTGTACATTGTTATTTATGCCTCAAAAAATATTTATTTATATTTATGCCTAATTATTTAGAATCAAATCAAAAGCAATGGAATACATTGTATATGTGTGTACTGTATTTACATATAGGTATGCTCCATAAAAAGAATTCTAAATAAATATTCAGGAAATTAAAAACAGTATAGCTTTACCATTCTTTAGTACATTCTAACAATGCACTGAAGGCTTCAGATAAAATTTAGAAACTGCCAGGTGTAGAAAGTAACCACTTTCAATGCTGCACAGTGCATACTGAGCTTTCCTGCTCAGTTCAATAGGTTAGAAGGTTCAATAAGGTTGGAAAGCACATCTTTCCAACCTTATGACTTATGAACATTGCCCGTTTTGGAATTATGAGATTTCTGCAGACAAATTTTTTATATCTCCCATCTTTTTGTTAGTAATACAGTATAATTGAGCTGTAAGAACTCACATTTACCCAAGATACATTATCTGAGGAACCATAATATAGGGTCTACCAGACTACCGGTAGCCTGGTAGGGCAGTAGCGGTAGATGGACAGTGTAAACATAAAATTGAAGAATATTGTTCAAATAAATTGATAAAAACTTGAGCTAAATTGCCTGACCTCTTAGTGACCTGCATATGCTATATTAATAATATTGTGCAATGTGCATGTCTGCATGAGAATGTTTCACGAGACATGCTTGCAGTTGTAGCCGAGCCTGAAATCATGAGTGAAATGAATGTGCAACTTGCAAGATCTCTCAGTCTCATGTATGAGTATACACTTAATCACTTATTATGTCAAAAATAGCATTCTATTCATGTTTCTCACTTTTTCAGTATTGCTTAACAAGTTAGCGATTTGATAAAAAAAGCTACTTTTGTACTCCCTACCTTAGGCTTAGGCTTATATGGTAGGTACCTAGTCATCATATTTCCTAAAGAAAAAATTCCTATCACAGATTAAAGAATCTTTCATAATGATAAGGTGCATGATAACATGTAAAACAGTAATTAATGGTTCACTGAAAAAGTCACCCTCACCNAACAGCTTAGTTATAGGCTATAACAGTTGGCGTATTAACAGCTTAGTTATAGGCTATAACAGTTGGCGTATTAACAGCTTAGTTATAGGCTATAACAGTTGGCGTATTAACAGCTTAGTTATAGGCTATAACAGTTGGCGTATTAACAGCTTAGTTATAGGCTATAACAGTTGGCGTATTAACAGCTTAGTTATAGGCTATAACAGTTGGCGTATTAACAGCTTAGTTATAGGCTATAACAGTTGGCGTATTAACAGCTTAGTTATAGGCTATAACAGTTGGCGTATTAACAGCTTAGTTATAGGCTATAACAGTTGGCGTATTAACAGCTTAGTTATAGGCTATAACAGTTGGCGTATTAACAGCTTAGTTATAGGCTATAACAGTTGGCGTATTAACAGCTTAGTTATAGGCTATAACAGTTGGCGTATTAACAGCTTAGTTATAGGCTATAACAGTTGGCGTATTAACAGCTTAGTTATAGGCTATAACAGTTGGCGTATTAACAGCTTAGTTATAGGCTATAACAGTTGGCGTATTAACAGCTTAGTTATAGGCTATAACAGTTGGCGTATTAACAGCTTAGTTATAGGCATTAACAGTTGGCGTATTAACAGCTTAGTTAAACGTTCAAAAGAAGAAGAGCAATAACGGCTTCGATGTAAGGTCAAACGGAAGCAACCTTGCCAATATTTATTCCAAATTTTTAAAGTCAGCGTCTGTTGTTTGTTTGGCTAAATGAGGCATTAACTTCTGTCAAATTCTCCCATTATTGCCAGCTCAAACATCACGATGGCCTGGCAGCCTTCCTATATGACGGCAATATGAATCATTTAAATGGATTATCATTGATGTTTTGGCTATACATGGAAAATGAATGATTACAATGAATGAATTCTGCGCGAGGTCCACTACCTGTCTCTTATACACATCTAGATGTGTATAAGAGACAGGTGTACCTCATTAGTGACACCATTAGTCTGCCTCATTAGTGACACAAATAGTGTACCTCATTAGTGACACCATTAGTGTACCTCATTAGTGACACCATTAGTATATCTCATTCGTGACACCGTCAGTGTACCCCATTAGTGACACCATCAGTGTACCTCATTAGTGNAGCAGTGTTAATAGACTGAAGTAGTGAGCAGTAACCTAGCACATGGGCGCCGTAGATAAGTGAGAGGAAGTAGTGATGAACAGGTTGCCCTAGTACAAGTAACAAGTAATAATGCCCTGGGACCAGATGGTAGGGAGTGGTAAAGCGTCTTTAGCTAGTGGTAACTAGCTAGTTGTGGCAGTGCTAGTGAGGAAATAGTAGCTTTAAAGAAAAGGCAAACAGTGAGAGGGTGTTAGACATTACCGGGAGTAAGAACGATGAAAATAGCAGTTTAGTCGGATGAGAAATTGCCTTGGATCGCTGTAGGTATCGCGGCGTAGGCTTGACGATATATACTCGACGATACGCCTATGCGATGATATTAAGTTCGATCTTAAAAATTAAATTCGATTATATTTAATTTCAGAATCTTAAAAACATAGAATGAAGGTTAATATATTTAATTTCTTAGGAAGCTGCTGTACCGGCGACTTGACTCGGTTCGTCGTTTAGGCCTCCTGGGTCTGCACCAAATGTCGACTGAAACTCTGGTACCGTTCACTCATTCATGAGTGAATGGGACGGCACCCAGTGCAGCAGTAGCGCTTATAATATTACAGTTTATCCTATCATATCATATCATAGTTATGTCGGCGCTGAAGAGCAGGCCTGATGTGGCCTGTCGCCGATTCTTGTACTTTTCGTGACTTGTTCACAGAAGATCTAAAAGGCATGTCCTTTGACCGGTTCTTTTCATGACTGACGAAAGTTTGAAATAGCTACTCGACTTCCATCGGGTTCGATATGGTGCTAGGCATTTCAAATCCGAACATATATTTTTCCATAGCTTTATCTAGCTAGTCTGTTCTTGAACGCGTTCATACTCAGAGCGCCAACGACGTAATCGTAGATCGAGGCTGTTCCACATGTCGGTGATTCGAAGTGAGAGCCAGGGTGCACTTTACCCTGGCAGGGTTCACTTTACCCTGCCAAGGTTCACTTTACCCATCCAGGGATCACTTTACCCATCCAGGGGTCACTTTACCCATCCAGGGGTCACTTTACCCTGCCAGGGTTCACTGTACCCTGACAGGGTAAATTTACCCTGGCAGTGTGAACGAGAGGAGACGCGCGCCCGCGTCGGTGAAAGGGAAAGTCGCTTCTGCCTCATCCCGACCTGGGGAGGGAAGGGAATCATCTGCTGCAAACTTGGTACAGACTTGTGAGGCAGACTTAGTACAGACTTGTGAGGCAGACTTGGTACAGACTTGTGAGGCAGACTTGGTACAGACTAATGAGGCAGGCCTGGTACAGACTTCTGCTGCAGATTTGGTACGGATTTTTAGTGCAGTCTTTATAAGTTTTAGAGGCCGTACTATCAATTATAATTATGAGTTTGTAACTCCGTCAGCCAATCCCTGACGGCTTTTCTTGCTAAATCCACCAATCACAGACGGGAATTCGGTCGCCATGTGTACTTAGGTTGCTACGTGTAGTCACGACGGTAGGTATATCAGTTGTGTATATAATAGACACAGCCAACAGCCCTGACCACTTCTTTCTTCCAACAGAGCAGGAAAATATATTCAGAAACGAATCGAAAACTCACCTCAACAAATGCATGAAGTTAATACGAATGATAGAATATGAGTATATATTGCACATATAAAAGCGAATGAAATAGAGCACAATAGAAAGCGTACTCGAAGCGTGAATAACTTAGTGAATAACTTCAACTGAATTGTACAGTTACGAAAATATCAACTTTAATTGAATTTTTGACTGCTTTGAGAAGACGAAAAGTTAATGAAATTGTGGACAATCTTACGAAAAATAACAAGGACCGAAGCGTGTACAGTTGAGGGAAGAATGTTCGAGGCGAAAGTCATGAGCAGCGGCAACGGCACAGCGCGTAAGTGTACAGACAGGCTTGTCTTTGTCTGTTTCTGTCGTGATTATTAGTCTAATCACTAATGAGATGTTGACAAACCTTTAATGTCTTGATTATTATTCTCTAATGAGTTGTCTAGTAGCCATTAATGTATTGATTATATATAAGTCTCTAATTAGTTGCTCGCTAGCCTTGAGTTGGACACTAGTCTTTAATGAGTTGCTAGTTAGGCATCGATAGATCGATTATAATTAGTCTTTCTAGTTATGCTGAATATCGTCCACGAGTTAGTCACATTGCTGCAGTCGCTGCAGTTAGCAGCATCACGATGGTGCGGGTTGCATGCAACATTCGCCGGATGTTGCAGTACATGCTACTGCAGTAGCATGTCTGCTACTGCAGTAGCAGACTAGCAGAAGCACGGAGGGGTGTGGCGGTGATGCAACGAGGGCAAAGGTAACATGAGTGAGGGCCTGAGGGAAGGACGTTACGATGGAGTGGCGTAAAGATGAGTTTTCGTATCAATGGCAAGAAGTTAGCAGCGCCTGCGAGGGCATGACGTGCAATATCGAACGTCGCTGGTTTTGAACTCCGTGTGGCGGCCATACTTGTTGACTACACAACTACAACGCGGACTAACGCGCTGCAACCTCAACTCGAACTTAAGAACTTCAACGCTGTAATGACGGAGCGTTGTGATGAGAAGCTGCCACCACCATTAGGCATTAGCCACCACCAACAATACAACAACAACCATTAGCCACCACCACCGCCACCACCACCACCACCACCACCACCACGGTTCGGTGGCGGGCAACAATTTTGGTTGCGTCACCGCGTCTGCGGCCGCCGGCCACTTCCTCCACTCCTCCACTCCTCCCCGGGGGGATGGGGAGGAGTGGCGTTTGGGGGAGAGGAAAGAGTGAGATCATGTCGAGAGTGGAAGTGATGGTGTGAGTGAATGCCTGCGTGAGAGTGAGAGTTGGGGGAATAATGACATGTGGAGTGCTGACGGGAGTGTGGTGAGAGTGAGAGTGTTGCGGAGCGGGAGTGGTGGAGGGAGTGAGAGTGGTGGAGAGAGTGAGAGTGGTGGAGGGAGTGAGAGTGGTGGAGGGAGTGAGAGTNGGAGACTCATCGAAGAGAAAACGTTGGGTTAGGTTAGGTTAGCACATGTTAGGCTAGGCTAGGTTGGGTTAGGTTAGGTTAGGTTATGTTAGGTTCGGCTAGGTCAGGTTAGGTGATGTTAGGTTGGGCTAGGAGACTCGCCAAAGATGAAGGAAGCGTCAGGATGACACCAGGTCTATTCGCTGTGATTTCTGCTGATCTGAACTCCGGTTTCAGGATCAATACCAATGCTCATCAAACTAGTTTTAATATTTACACTAAAATTTTGCAATATATTTTTCAGGCCTGATGATGGCGCTGGGGCTGCTGGCGGTAGCGACGATAGCGTCTTCTTCCCCAACTTCGTCTCCTGATTATCACCCCAGGCTCTCTGCAGCTTCCCCTCCGAATATAACCACAACTTCCTCCCAAACTTTACCCACTAATGTAACCCCAACTCCAACTGCTGGGTCCCCAATTCCCCCTATTGGGCTCCCAAATTCAATTTCTGACACCCCCGCTGCAGCGGCCCCGACAAGCGATGCTGCTCTCTCAGCCCCATATTCCCTCACATCCCCTTCGTCCCACGACACCAGCTCCCATGTTAGCGGGGACGGTGTTGGGCAGATAGTCCTCCTTCCCCACGACCTGAGCACCGCGGAGGGGTCAAAGGACTCCATGTCCCTGCGTCGGGTGTCCGCAGGACTCCTAAAGAAAGAACCGCCGCTGCTGAAGGGCATCCTGCTCCCCGAGGACATTGGCGACAAGATCCTCCTGGTGAAGCCTGGAGACGCCGGTAAGGTGATCGACCTGCGAGCCGTCCCTGGCATGGACGCCAAATCTAGGACAAAAAATAACGCATTTTACAATGCACTTGTTCCCAAAAGTGGTTCGAAACAAGCCACGCCCAACCCCCCGACAGAGGCGAGACAACCAAAGCTGCTGAGCCGACAGAAGAGGTTCCTGACGCTGCGCACCATCGCAGTGCCCCTCACCATCTTCCACTACCTGGGGTTCCTGCCCATGCGGGTACCTGGCGTGCCCTACCATGAGGACCCAGGGCTGCCGGACTACCAGGTCTACGAACCCTACAACGACCTCGTCTACCCGGACGCCCCTATCAGGAGTCGCAACTCCGGTTACGGGGACTGATTGCTTGTTACCGTCTCCTGTCTTTATGGGCCGTACAAAGTGTATATTGTCAATGACTTGTGATTTCAATATGTAAGGTAACAAATATTCTATAAAAGATCATTATAGGTGGTGCGTGTGGCAATTATTTTGTACGAGGCGACAAAAAAAGCTCACAAATCATCGGAAAATGCGAGTTTTTAGAAAAAAAAAATATTAAAATTGCCCCGACCCATCATATCCTACTTACTAATTGGTCCGTGTTTGTCAAGTGCCTAGTCCTGGACCGTCTTGCATCCCAGTAATAACATAACATAACATAACATAGTGATCTCGCGCTGAAGTGTAGGCCTGATGTGGCCTGTCACCGGTTCTTTTCCTTTTCGTGCCTTGTTCACAGAAGATCTAAAATCGTGTCATTTGACCGTATCTTTTCACGACTGACGGAAGTCAGTCTACTCGACTTCCAACGGGTTCGATATGTTGCTAGGCATTTCAAATCTGAACATATAAATTTCCATAGCTTTATCTAGTCTGTTCTTGAATGCGTTCATACTCGGAGAGCCAACGATGTCATTGGGGAGGTTGTTCCACATGTCTGTGATTCGAAGCAGTAATCAATAATATCCAAATTTTGTGATATAATCGCAACTCTGCACACACTGAATTATGAAAAGCTAAGCGGTCATTGAGTTAACGATGTTCTTTGTTGAGATGATGCACTCTCTAGGGCCAACGATGTCATTGGGGAGGTTGTTCCACATGTCTGTGATTCGAAGCGAAAATCAATAATATCGAAATTTTGTGATATAATCGCAACTCTGTATACACTGAATTATGAAAAGCTAAACGGTCGTTCAGTTAACGATGTTCTTTGAGATGATGCAAAGCTCTCTAGGGGCCTGGGTGTTGAAATGGAGTGCGGATGAGTACGGCTGAATGGGAAAGAGTGCGGATGAGTACGGCAAGTGCGAAGTAGTGCGGCTGAGTGCGAAGTAGTGCGGATGAGTGCGGATGAGTGCGGCTGAGTACGAAGGAGTGTGTAATCAATAATATCCAAATTTTGTGATATAATCGCAACTCTGCACACACTGAATTATGAAAAGCTAAGCGGTCATTGAGTTAACGATGTTCTTTATTGAGATGATGCAAAGCTCTCTATGGGCCGAGCTGTTGAAATTGAGTGCGGATGAGTACGGCTGAGAGCGAAGTAGTACGGCTGAATGCGAAGGAGTGCGGCTGAGAACGAAGGAGTGCGGATGAGTACGGCTGAGTGCAAAGGAGTGCGGATGAGTACGGCTGAGTGCGAAGGAGTGCGTATGAGTACGGCTGAGTGCGAAGGAGTGCGGATGAGAACGGCTGAGTGCGAAGGAGTGCGGATGAGTACGGCTGAGTGCGAAGGAGTGCGGATGAGAGCGAAGGAGTGCGGATGAGAACGGCTGAGTGCGAAGGAGTGCGGATGAGTACGGCTGAGAGCGAAGGAGTGTGGATGAGAGCGAAGGAGTGCGGATGAGTACGGCTGAGAGCGAAGAAGTGTGGATGAGTACGGCTGAGTGCGAAGTAGGGCGGATGAGTACGGCTGAGAGTGAAGGAGTGTGGATGAGTACGGCTGAGAGCGAAGGAGTGTGGATGAGAACGGCTGAGTGCGAAGGAGTGCGGGCGATAACGTTGTCTGAACAAAGCAATTGCCGCTCGCACCGTCTGTTTGCATATACTCGTTAGTTATACCATCTATACATACTGATGTATTTAACCTCAAAATATATCACGATATATTTTTGCATCGAAAAAGTTTATCGTGACTTTACAGCATCAATATAACGTAAGGTATTTTTGTACATAAGAATTTTCTTGGAAGTTCAGAAAAGAAATGCTTCCTGCTAACCAAAGTTTTTTTTTTGTTGTGTTTGTGTAGGTTGAATATACATTGAAAAAGTCACCCTCACCCCTGATAGAGCTGATTCCAAAATTCTATGCTGATTATGCAGTCTCACTCTCACTGTCTGTCACACTCACACTGTCACTGTGTCACACAATTGTATTACCTTTATAATAAGCATACTATTCTACTCATGTCTCATTTCACTAAAGAGTTTACAATTTAGTAGTTTTATAAATGCCAAAATATCTAAAATAATAATTGAAATTTGAAGAATAATAAAAATAACCACTGATTTCCCAATCCCCACCTCTACATCTACTGTTACTGATTTACAAGCTCTGCACTGGGTTGATTGGTTCATATAGGATGGTAGCATTAGCCTATAGCCTATAGGCCGGCGGGGCCGCCAAAAATCTAATGCAATGTTGAGATTTTTCAATACAATTTTCCGGAAAAAATGGCAAGTAAGCAATAAATCAGATGAAAAATATTAACAAAAATAATAGCAGAGAAAAAATATACAGCGTTAGCTCAAAAATCAATTCGATTGAATGGTGCCACCATTTCTTTAAACGTTAGCAGAGCGGCAGCCATATTTACTTACTGGCATAGCATAGGTATACAAATAGAAGTTTGTCCGTCGGCCCATCATTTTTTGTCATTTAAATATGTTTCCACTCAAGAAAATTGGTATGTAACACCGGCACCGTAAACAATAGCATTATTTGCATTTATAAAAGTTTTTCGGGCCATTTTGAGGAGGTCAATTTTATTTTATCTGATCTCAAATATGGCACCAAAACAACGTAAAGCACGGCCCGACAAGGGTTTGTTTACGTTTACGATCCAAATGACGTCA